CCGAGTCCCATATTTTTCTACGGACCCTCCGGGACCGTCAAATCACGGGTCCGGGTCCGTTTACCAAAAATGTTGACCGAAGTCAACTTTAATCATTTTAAAGCCACATTTTGAAATTTTTCGCAGAATTTAACATATAATCTTTCCGGCTACGCGCCGGACTGCGCACGCAAATCGAGGCAAGTAAAAATAAGGTTCTCAAGGCCTCGGAAGCACGGGATGAAAGAGAAAATAGGTGATGACCCTTTGGGTCGTCACATTCTCCACCTCTAAAACAACCGTTCGTCCTCGAACGGACAAAAGAAAGAAGTACCTGAGTCGGAAAATAGATGAGGATAGCGGCTCCGCATATCAGACTCAGACTCCCAGGTCGATGCCTCAGGAGGCTGACCTCTCCACTGGACACGCACTGAAGGAAAACTCTTCGACCTCAACTGTCGAACCTGCCGGTCTAGAATGGCTACCGGCTCCTCCTCGTAAGACAGATCCTTGTCCAACTGGACAGTGCTGAAATCTAACACGTGGGCTGGATCGCCGTGATACCTCCGAAGCATGGACACATGAAACACTGGATGCACGGCTGACAAGCTGGGCGGCAAGGCAAGTCTGTAAGCCACCTCTCCCACACGATCGAGAATCTCAAATGGGCCAATGAATCTAGGGTTAAGCTTGCCCTTCTTCCCAAATCTTATCACGCCCTTCATGGGCGACACTCGGAGCAAGACCCGCTCACCAACCATGAAAGCTGCATCTCGAACCTTACGATCCGCATAACTCTTTTGCCGCGAATGAGCCGAACGAAGCCTGTCCTGAATGATCTTGACCTTATCCAGGACCTCCTGAACTAAATCTGTACCCAATAACCGAGCCTCTCCCGGCTCAAACCATCCGACTGGAGACCGACATCGCCTACCATACAACGCCTCATGTGGAGCCATCTGAATGCTGGACTGGTAGCTGTTGTTGTAGGCGAACTCTGCTAAAGGCAAAAACTGGTCCCACGAGCCTCCAAAATCAATGACACAGGCTCGGAGCATATCCTCCAATATCTAAATAGTCCTCTCGGACTGGCCGTCCGTCTGAGGATGGAACGCTGTGCTCAACTGAACCTGGGTGCCCAACTCCTGCTGAATTGCTCTCCAGAAGCGCGAGGTAAACTGCGTACCCCGGTCCGAAATGATAGATACCGGCACCCCATGAAGGCGAACAATCTCTCGGATGTAGATCTCAGCTAACCTCTCCGATGAATAAGTGGCTGCAACAGGAATAAAATGCGCTGACTTGGTCAGCCTATCAACAATGACCCAAATAGCATCAAACT